AGCGTTGTTGATCCGCTAAATTCGTCTCGAGACATATTCACCCAGTGCAGTGCTGATAAATGTAGAATGTTGAATCTGTGATAATTGTCGACGATGGAGAGAGAGGCTGATAGCCGCTGTCGCAGGGAGAGTGAAGCTGCTGGAAGTAACAACGGGGAGCCCGTTTGTATCACCTGAACAACCAGACTTCAAAGCAGCTTGACCAAATCGGAGGGTGCCTCGTTGCTTACTAGTCGTGATTATTTCACCGACATGAATTACTACAAGCAAGTATACTGGTGAGTTTTTATCTTGTTTTGTTCTTATGCTAGTACCCTGGCCTGGAGTTCTCGTTAGCAAATTCCTATTCCCTGGCGTTTTCTAAACATTCCGCGTAGGACTGAATACGTGATCAAGTATTCCGATTTGGGTAGATGTGGAATTTGGACATGTATTTTATAAAAAAAAATATTTTCCAAATAGAGCGTTTGTAGAGAAATGGTTGCCCAAATACAACAAAATTTAATCTGCAGTTCTACAACTAACTTGTACTGAAATCCAGTCAAAGTAAAAATGATTCTTCATGACAGTTGGGGTCAATGAAATCTGATCCAGGCATAACGAATGGTGACACCTGCCACCCCGGGAACGAATGCCCATTTGGCGGGGGATACCAAAGTACTCGAAAGTAGTGCGTGTTTCAATGTGGCATGGAAGTTTTATATGATCTCTGGTCAATGCAACATACGATAGCCATCATGAATTGCAGGCCTCGAACGCAACTCCGACCAGAATTGGCAGTTCCCTAAGTTAGATGCTTTATAATTCCATGGCCCCAGCTGTAGTTATAGAGGGTTTTTTGCACATTATTCTTATAGTCGATAGGTTTATACTGATAGCCACAAACAACGGCAGTTCAAACTTCACTGATGTGTTCATGAGCTGAGAGATTTCTCTCCACTATTTCTGTTGTGCACACAGGTCTGTCCAATATGCATTGACCGTATTGGGTATGGTACCTGCTCTGAGAAGGGAATCGCTGGAGCCACAGTCCAACTATACAGGCTTTCAAGAAACGGAGAGGAGCCATCTTTGCAAGCTGATACCTGATGTGTACCGACAGAATTCTCCCGAGATACCTTACAGACTACGCCTGGTGTATACTTCATAGTACTCCTTCGACTACTGTCTAGAATCAAGTCGACTGAAGCAAGTTCAAACAACTCTGGCTTCAAACTAGCCGTCGATTAGACAAACAAAACATTTTCTCATATACTAGAGCACTCTGACAACTCACGACCTATTCCTAACGATTGCCACCGCTTATAAATATGTAGAGTACTGATTGGAATGTGCTCACAATCTCAACAATTCAGTGCTATAATTATTTGAACTATGTGTTCCTTCCATAAATGTTGTATCCACATATAATCCACAGTGCTGCAAAGTTTCAGAGTTCTCAGGGTATCAAACAAAATTATTTCAAATACAGTGAAATTGTTCGTGTACATTATAGCGTAACTTGTAGCTCCCTGGTCCTTTTCTTTGCTATAAATTAATCCTTTGCTCTCTAGCCGCCGGCGAGTCCAACAGTGAAATTGTTAGTTCATATTTACTCAATCTGCGGACAGCATGTTCATATTTATGTAGGTATATGTAGGTATTTATGTAGGTATATGTAGGTATATTTATGTTCATATTTATGTAGGTATATTTATGTAGGTATGTGGGAGGGGGGGGGGGGGTTGAACATAATTCTATATAAGGGACCTGCAACTGTAATACCACAGTACAGTAGATAGCAAATATGTAGAAAACAGAAATGCATGTTCCCATCATTGTACATGGACGGGCGCAGCAGGCCGACGCTATCAGCAAGAACAGGATTTACAATCGCCTAGAGATACTTGAGCTATTCCAGAATTCTCCGTGAGCTGTCCCATTCCACAATGGTTCATGCCACCATTATTTCTGGTAGTATCCATGTGCATAATTCCAAGACCATCTCGGATTCTTCAGCAATTTGTGCCACGGCAAAAGACAACACTTGACTCAGTCACTGGGGCTGTCAAACTTCGCATCACAAATGAACTTCAATTTCCTGTCCCCGGGGAAAATTGCGGAAAAAAATCGCAAAAAACGCGGGGAAAAACGCGGCATAATATGGCATAATTTGCGGTGAATTTGTGGTAAATATGCGGTAAATATGCGGTGAATAATATTGATGTGCGGCAATTTTCAGCGAGTATGTAGTGAAATCAATCAGTTACAAGTCTCTGGTGTAAGCACTCGTCATATTTGAGTAAAAAGCCGCCACGATGAGACGTTGCTGACCGAACAGTGCACTGTGTGTACGTGTAGTGCAACAAAAAAGTTCAAAAAACGCGGGAAAATCGCGGAAAACGCGGTCTTTTAAAAAATCGCAAAAAACGCGGAAAAAAACGCGGCCGCGGAATTGCAATTTTCCCCGGGGACAGAATTTCTCATCTGGTTTTTAAAAGTATATGGACTGCCATGACTTGACCATGCTTCATCCACAGCTGGGCGAAAATTGTGGCGTTGAATTCCATAGCGCACCTTCTTGCTGCCATGCAGGAGTATGTTGAGAGAAGTGAACATATTTTTACTAAAAAAACAACAGCCACTGAAGAGGATAGCATTAGCAATAGCCTTGGGTGAATTTCCTGCAGGTACACGTTGTTGGTAGGTCTACTGGTCGGTCTCCATATCGTCAAGTCACCTGTACTACACATCTTGTAGAAGGGATCCTGATCGAAAAAAATTCTGATCATAAACTTCACTAAACTGAGGGCGAGACAAATAGTCAGTACTCCCCGATTCCGTCTAGCTGCTTTGATCAAGTGATGCTAACAAGCTCCCCGTTGTTACTTCCAGCAGCTTCACTTTCCCTGCGACAGCGGCTATCAACCTTTCTGTCCATCGTCGACAATTATCACAGATTCAACATTCTACATTTGTCAGCACTGCACCTGGGTGAATATGTCTCGAGACGAATTTAGCGGATCAACAACGCTTTGATGGAGATAAATTCTCCTCTGGAGGACCTTCAGGGTACCTGGAAGGGTATAGAAGACGGGATCGCTCACGGCTTTGAGAGAACATAGCAAACAACCTCCTCTTCGATTGAAAATTGGCCAAAAAGTATGTGAAATGTATGTGCGCAGATGCATTTCCACTGTAAGCTAATCCCTCATTACGTCATCAACGCTCGCTCGGCGAAATTCAAAAAGTCGTCTTCCTGCTTGACTCGATCGCTTCTGGAGACTCGTTCTTGTTCGAGGGGTCTTCTCTTTCACCAACCTTCGTCTTGGCATCGAAAACTCGGGGTCGAAAATGAAGCCGGAGTGCCCCTTTAAAGCACGTCCCAAGACCATGGCTGGTCTGAGATGTGTTTGTTGACACCTGTGAGTGGAGAGTGATTGGCCAGACGGGGAAAGACGTCCTCGGGGTGGCTGTTCCACACGCGTCCAAAAGATTACAACATATGGGCCAATCGCGGTCATCCATGCTTTTATAAGAACGAAATGGCGCTTTTAGTGACATTTTGCATACAAATCCCCATCTAGTAGGGCGCAGTCACCCAGTTTCGGTGGAAGTCCGCGAGTTCGATTGGGAATAGAGGAGGAATAAGAGGGGAGCATCTCAGCTTCCTCGGACCAAGACCATTCGACTCAGCACCCCGAAGACTACAACTGTGGACAAAACAACTAATGAACTGATTTCGAAGGACATAATTATACTCGTGCGTGCATATTGATTCCCTCCGCCAAAGCGTTACAATTACCCTATAATTATAACTAGCGAATAGCATCATTATGTTTTATCGTCTGATAAGTACTCGAGTGTTTATGAACACGAAACTCCGAGTTACGAGAAAGATTTTTGGTCCCTGTTGTTCTGCCTTTGGGTACGTAGATCTATGCATTTTAGCGCACAGACCTTGCAAGAGGGCTTGAAAGTGCTACGTCACAGCATAGCAACAATTTCAAAAATTCAAAAACTGGATCCACTTGGATCCAGTTTTTGTATGGATCCAAGCACATTTCAAGCCGTCTTACCCACAGCATGGTGATGTAGCCAGTGAAACTGACTGATTTGGCTACTGGGGGCGGGGTCACAACTGGTGGCGAAATAAAAGTCACACCTGCATGCGACATGAGTTGGTTGCTATGCACCCACATACTTAGGCAATAGCAAAGTCACACCTTAGTGGATCCAAAAATAGAAATCTGATGTCAAATTACTACTCCCTGGCCGTTTTGACGTCATCACTTTCAAGCCCTAGTGCTAGCGCATATCAACTACAGTCAACTTCGCTAATAACGACTGCGCATATAACGACAATTCGCGAATAACGACAGCATTTCCATGCCCAGAGCAAAGTCCCTTCCAACTGTAATACATAATATTATTATTATAATGAGACTTCGGGTATAACGACACTTCGCGAATAAGGACACTTTTTGATTCCCCAGCGAGTGTCGTTATAAGCGAAGTTGACTGTATCAACGAGTTGCTAAAACTAAACGCAATGGGGAACGGGTCACTCGTTTTCGCTCTCATTCACGAGTCGCTAAAACTCCCCATTTTTTTATTCATACAACCAGTAAGTAAATACCAGGTCCAGTACCACGATCCACTACTACTACTACTAGCACTGCGTGCAGCCTGACACAGACTCAAAATCAGTCACACAGTCATCTGGTCTTCACTTCCGTTGTCGGTGAAAGCGTGGACGTAGTCGTAGATCTACGACGCGGTAACGTGCATTCGTAATCATGGTAATCATGGTAATGCCTACTGTACTGATGCCTGATGCAGTGATGGCGCGAAAGTACGACCCCGGCCTTTGCCCGTTTAGAAACTTTAGTTGCACAGTGACTGTGTAGAGTAGAGTAGAGAAGATGAGCGAATCGCGAAGCAGGCGCTGACCTAGTACTCAGTACTAGTACTAGTACTAGTAGTACCTCAACAAATATTTTTTTGGTCAGCCGCAGATCATGCACTCAGCAAGGCTTCTGAGTGAAAATAGCCTTTTTCGGATCCACAGATGGAAACAGCTCGTGTATTCATGGTGTGGAAGTCCAGAAGCCACCTGCTCAGCTTTTACTAGTTATAGCAAGCAGAGATGGAAAGGTGTTCTTTGTGACGGCAGCAGTGCAGCGCGCTGCTCAACGAAATATCGGTCACGGATATGCAGTCGTTACAATCTGCTGGTTACGGCTGAGCGAACTAGTTCATGGGTGAATGAACGGCGCAAGAAGACTACATCTGTCCAATGTCTTGTTTGATGTGTCGAAGAAGCAAGCCAGTTGTCTCGGCCGCAGAACAAGCGCCAACTTTACCAAGAAAAATGAATCCGGTTAGTGGAGGAGTTTTTTTCTCAGCCGATGCCTATCCTGTTTCCCACTGCAAACGCTGTTGTCATAACCTTTCCAACACCTTTCTCTTGTATGTTGAAGGTGGTGTTCGTTGTCCAGCGAATTCTGCAGTGCCCGAGGACTAGGGTGACTCCAGAAAGAGTGAGCCACTATGGCGTGGCGAGCAGCAATGGTCCTAATTGCGTTCCTGGCGCTGGCAGGTGAGTGAGCTGAGTGAACTGTTCGTTTGTGACAACAAACCCCTCTCACATTATTCAATATGGAGTGAAATTATACATGCAGAGTCATAGATGTATGTGTTGATAACTATGATCAATATCATCAGGCCTGGCCTCTGTAGGTGTGGGGGTTCCGAGGCTATTATATTTCAAGCTGTCGAAAGTATTCTTCTAATAGCATAACCACGAAACGGAGGGTTAGCTTAGGGCAAAGCAGTAACACCAGTGCACTCTGACGAAAAAGGGTTTATAGAAATACATGTCGTGTACCTCCATATCTTTTTCCGCGGGGGGGGGGGGGGGAGGAGTACGAGTGCAGCCTTGCTCAGACGACTAATAGTGGTTGTGTTGTTGCAGTGTGAAGCCGAGATAGTTTTATAGCCAGGACTATCTACTGAAACAGCACAGCTAATTGGTAGACCGTTTTCATTAGACATCTCGTCCTTTTTCCTATTGAAGCGATGCATCCTGAACTAGAATAACTACAGTTCTGGCCAGAGAAATCCAACCTCAAGAATAATGTAGTGCTGTGTTCAGAGTGTTGTGTGTGTGTTCAGAGTGTTGTGTGTGTATGTGTGTGTGTGTGTGTGTGTGTGTGTGTGTGTGTGTGTGTGTGGTTTGTGTGTGTGTGTGTTAGTGTGTGTGTGTGGTGTGTGTGTGTGTGTGTGTGTGTGTGTGTGTGTGTGTGTGTGCGTGTGTGTGTGTGTGATATTGCTGCGTCACACTCAGCGCTATCGTATTCATTAGATTGGATTTCTCAGTTCAGGGCTGTAGACAAATTGCTTTGTGATCGCATACTACAATGACTGTGTATGCTTTGACGGTGACAGATTGTTACAAGGCGGAGGACGTACGGCAGTGCTATGTAGTAGCCAGAAATAGGTTGTCTCAACACAATCATACTAGTAGCTTGTGGGTCAGTTACTGGGAGAAGTGATTGTTGTGCGGATAGTCGTGCTGTAGTCCATGAAGAGGCAGTGTTCTGGATCCACAGTTTTGGCAAGTGAAATCTGCCCTTGTAAATAATTATAATAGCTCCAGGTTGCATGTCGCTGACACTATAGGAAACTATGCTCTTCAGAGAACGTGGCTCATTCATCGCGTTGGACTTTACCACCACTAGAATGACTGTGTTCTATTGCACATAAATAATGACGATTATTACTACTCAGAGTGCTAAGGTTGTGCTAAACAATGTGAAGTTTTAATCCCTCTATCCTGTTCCTCTTCACTCTTTCTTTGTACAATTCCCAGCGGATCGTCAGTGCTGCAGTGGGAGTGAAGACGTGACCTTTGAACAGAATTGTATAAGTGGAGACTTGCAAAACACACCCACCACTACACCAAGCAATGCCTTTCAGCAGGCAATGCAGACAAACACATTCAAATTTAATACAACGTCGAAAAAGTGTGTCCTCACTTCCCAATATAAATGCAACCCTGGATATGGTTTCAGAAAAGTCAGTGCCCAGAATTGGGGTCAGAAAATCAAGTTCGAATCAAATGATGGCATTGAGTGGACTGTTCAGAAGGAATGTACTGGTAGGTGTGGTAAATTATACCTTTCCTCCATTTAAATAAACTTTTTTTTACAATGGGTGACTTCTGGGCCAGTAACGTCATAATTTTCCAAGTGATTATAGTCGACCTACTCTTATAACGATAACCCCTATAACAACATCACCTGTATAACGATATTTTTCTGTCAAACCGAATCACTCCATTGACTTTTGTATACAATGGCTCAGTGTTACCAAGTGCCCTCTACCCCCATGCGTAGACCCGGGTGCTCGAATCAGAAACGATTTGACAGGTGTGCAATTTCTCATCTGTAAATCTCAACAATGTCAGAATATACTTTTGGAGAGGCGATGGAACGGGGAAGAGAGTCTGGCTTGACCCACCCAGCAGGAATTCAGAACCTGGGTGCGCTACAACACAAGCTACAGTACGCAGTAAAATTGTCGTATTTCCTTCGGATTTTTTATTTGAAAATTGGGTGCTCGAATCAGAAACAGCGAACTCGTCAGATCGTCTCCGATTCAAGCACACGGGGCTGCCATCGTCTACGCTTGGTGTGGCAGTTGAGGGCAGGGAGTAGTAACTTTCTACTTCATTTTTGAGAGCAAGATGGTCAGTGGAGCCGCAGATTCAGCAGGTCTTTGGCAGCACCGTACAGGAGACCCATATCCTCGAATCAAGGACCCAGCAAAAAGTGGGTCGCGAGTATTTCAAAAAGTGTTTACCGGGCAGCGCTGAAATTTGGCATACCGTTAGCAGGCCGTATGTTGATGGTATTTGTGAAAATTAAACGAAATCGGAACAAGTTTAGGTACAATTTCAGGGTGTTTCTGTTTTGGTACCCTGTGTCTCATTCGAGCACCCGGGTCTACTGCCCAGTGCCATTTTGTAGATTTTTTCAGAGTTTTGCGTACTTGTTTTTTCCGGGTCAACATTTTGACAGATTATTAGTGTAATTTCCCCCCAAATGGCGAAGAGATCGATCAAATATTTAGATATAATGGGGGTAAACCAGTACTAGTATTTACAGAGATGAAAATACGGCGTGCGATATCTCTGGAGTCCGACATCGTCACTCTTCGGTGATTATTGCATTGGACAGATGGATGTTTTCGCTACCACGTAGACTCTTCGATTGTTGAATCTGTATAAAAAACGATGGAGTTACGAAGGTTTTAGTAATCGATAATACATGATCGTTTGCGAGATAATTCGATTGAAATCCGTACTGCGGACAAACCTTCAGTTTTCCGTAAAAATTCGGACAAAAACGGGCGGTTGGCAACACCATCGGCTGACCTCTATAACATTATTGCTATAGGTATAACGATATTACCCCTATATAGTGACCTTTGATAAGTACCCACACTCATTAGTGGCCACACCATCAACAGTATGAAATTCAAATAAATTTGCCTTGACTCAATAAATACCAGTGCGCTTTTCCATGCAACATTATCCCGTATCTGTCCCGTACCGTACCGTACCATCAAACACAGCTGGCCACATACAGCTGGCCGCAATATTCAAATAGAGCTTCCAAACGCAAGATCATAACATGAAGCAACTTGGAAGAATGGGTATGAATGCGAAGTGTATGGGGGAATGCATGTAGGGCGATAGTGCGGGTTCGAATCCCAGGATACGCCTGAAAAACAAAAGAGGAGAATTGAAAAATTTATAACATCCCTATGCTTTTTTTTGCCGTCATCAAGGCGGTAGACGGTGTCGTATTACCCTCGATCGTACCTGTCCCGTACCTATCCCGTACCGTACCGTACCATCAAAGACGGCTGGCCACAATGCATATTCAAATAGGGCTTTCAAATGCAAGATTATAACGTGAAGCAACTTGGAAGAATTAGTATGTATGTGAAGTGTATCGGGGGATGCATGCAGGGCGCACGATAGTGCGGGTTTGAATCCCAGGTTATGTCTTTATTTTTTAAGAATTTATAACATCCCTATGCTTTTTTTTGTCTAGGTCATCAAGGCAAAAAAGCATAGCGTAGGGCCCTGAGCTTCCAAGCTCTCTCGTTAGTGATGTCGAATTGGCGCGTGCGCTGGATGAAAACTTATTTTATTCCCGTAGCTATGCAAAAGACGTTACTTCAGTAACGTCTGGCGCTACCCAGGGTCCACACAGCTTTAATTTGGTGTTTGTGGCGGCGGGCGGACCTTTGTCTGGCGCTATCCTGTATCTGTCCCGTACCGTACCATCAAAGACAGCTGGTCACAAACAGCTGGTCACAATATTCAAATAAGGCTTTCTAATGCAAGATCATAACGTGAAGCAATTTGGAAGAATGAGTATGAATGCGAAGTGTATCGGGTAATGCATGTAGGGCGATTGTGCGGGTTCGAATCCCAGGTTATGCCATAACATCCCTATGCTTTTTTGCCTAGGTCATCAAGGTGGTAGACGGTGTCGTATTACCCTCGACCGTACCTGTCCCGTACCGTACTGGACCATCAAAGACGGCTGGCCACAAACAGCTGGCCACAATATTCAAATAGGGCTTTCAAATGCAAGATCATAACGTGAAGCAACTTGGAAGAATTAGTATGTATGCGAAGTGTATTGGGGGATGCATGCAGGGCGATAGTGAGGGTTCGAATCCCAGATTATGTTTAAAAAAATAGGAGAAATGAAAAATGTACTATCCTTTTTTTTGCCTAGGGCATCAAGGCAAAAAAGCATAGTGTAGGGCTCTGAGCTTCCAGGCTTTCTCGTTCCGTGTTTGTTTGTGGCATCGGCATGCCTGGCGCTATCCCTCACCTGTCCCGTACCATACCATCAAAGACAGCTGGCCACAATATTCAAATAGGGCTTTGAAATGCAAGATCATAACGTGAAGCAACTTGGAAGAATGAGTATGTATCCGAAGTGTATCGGGAAATGCGTACAGGGCGATAGTGCGGGTTCGAATCCTAGGTTTTGTCTAAAAAAAAATAGAAGAAATGAAAATTTCCCTATGCTTTTTTTTGCCTAGGTCATCAAGGTGGTAGATGGTGTCGTATTACCCTCGAATGCAAAGAGAAAGTTTATAATAACATGTATGATGAGCTAGGCAAAAAAGCATAGGGCCCTGAGCTTCCAAGCTCTCTCGTTAGTTATGTCGAAAAAAATTGACTTTTCGGGCCAGTCACCCATCGTCAGAACACATACACAACAACACACATACAAGGGGCGAACCTTGCCTTTTATAACGAAAGCAAGCAAGAGCGAATGTATGTCCGTGTACAAAACAAACGAAACACACAATAGCCATATGCAATTGAGTGTATGAATTTGCATGTACAACAGACAAGGAGAAGTGCGCTGAAAGAGTGGGTATGCAGCAGCTCAGCAGATAAAGTGCAGGAAATGTGTGTACGAAGGTGTATACCACAATGTTTGCGTGTACAACCCTACACAGACACAGCACGATTTAGCAGTTTCACTGTGAGGGTGCTAGCGCCTTCAACGGCCATCCGAAGGAGATATTGATCTCCGGACAACACTCTCGAATCTCGATGGACTCCCTGATTTTTCTTCTTGCCATCTGTGTTTCCACAGCCATTACTTGGGCCTCAATGAAAATCACTTCTGTGCTCTTGATGGTTCCGTGCTGCTGGTGATCAGTAGGCATGTGGCAGTTGCGGGCCTTGGTGGCCATTTGTGCGCCCTTGGCGGGCAGATGCTAGTTTCAGGCATGCATCTTTACTCAATCAATTATTATCAAAGAGCATATTCTTGAATATTTGAATTGTCCAAACGAAATCATGGCAACCCCCAACCCAAGGTGTCTATTGTATGTTTGTGCACACCATAGTGAGCGGTATGTTGTTCGGGTGTCTGCGTGTCAGAGCATGGGTACGCCAGTGGCGTGTGTGTGCATGTGTGCGCTTGTGTCTGTCTGCGTAGGTGCACGAGTGCCCAAGCTGGGCGTGCGGGTGCACTTGGAGGTGCTTGCATGGTCACGGGTGCAGGGGCTAATTGAATATTGTGGCCAGCTGTCTTTGATGGTACGGTAGGGGCAGGTACGGGATAGCCCCAGGCATGCCGACGGCACAAACACGGAATTAAAGCTGTGTGGACCCTGGCTAGACGTAACTGAAGTAACGTCTTTTGCAGAGCTACGGGAATAAAATAATTTTTCATCCAGCGAATATGCCAAGAGTGAATAGCAACTAAATAGAGCGGTTGTCAGTTGACAAACGGTTTGTCAATTGAAACCCCCTTTTATTGACAATGCAGTTGCATGATGTTTACCACTTTCTGAATTAGTGGTATTTTATAAACAGTATTTATTGGCTTTTGAGCAAATAAATGCTGTTTTTATAATACCACTATTAAGGCCAATAAAAACTGTTTATAAAATACTCCTTTTTTGGGAAAGTGCAGGTCAATATGATAATGTATAATAAATGTAGTAGGCTGATGATGAATAGACCAATCCCGAAAAGATTGTCTGGGTTCGTGAAAGGGGGCACGCGTGCAAGCCAGCACATGTGAAGTGCATCGTTTTGTATTCAGTTTGTGTGTGCCAGCTCATGGCGGAGGAGAGAGAGAGACTTTTGCTCGCCGAGCTGAAGCAAAAGGATTTGATGGAGTCCTGCCAGCAGCTAGTCAAAGGACCATCGGTACCTTAGGCAGACCCTGACGGAGTTTGGAGGCCAGCTAGCTCTCGGTGAGGAGAGAAACATTCGCGTGGCGATCGACTCTCCGTAAAAAATGCAAGCTACATAGCGCCGACATACTGCAACAGCTACTATTTCAGGTAACTTCTCGATCTGCTGCTTCACAAAGTTCAACTACTTACAAGTCCTGACTGTTGTAGTCTGAAGCTGGAGTCTCATCGCCCACCTACAGGTAGCTTTTGGAGCTGATGGATTTCCCGACTTGGACTCTTTCCGCAAACTCTCGCAACATTACTACAGTGTATGCTGTGTTTCCGCACACTCGTATCGACATGTCACCTATACTGTACATGTACCGGGTCGCGGAGGAGCTTGACGACCTCCGCTGACTCCAGGTTTCCGAAATACTGCCGTCGTCGTCTTTGATGTCGCTGGTGACATTCTCCCCTTGCAGGACGTGCGCATAGTTGTCGTCCCGGGGGTAAAGACTATGTTGTCTTCCGAAATAGTTCTTCATCACGCTCGCGGGAATGATGTTTCTCATCATGAACTCGTTCCGACGGTGTGACACGGCGATGGTCTTTGGCGGGGCACTGGCTTGGCAAAAACGATATCTTCTTGTGCAATATAACATTGATCGGCTGCAGATGAGTACAGTCACTTCGTGGTTGGTCCTATAGGAGGGCAGCTGCCAGGAAAGAGGCAGGACTCATCGAAGACGAAGCGCTCGCAACAAACAATAGTGCTCGAAATATCTCGTAAGATTTAGGGCCTATCGCTTTGAGCCACAGCGCTCACAGCCTTGCCTACTTCATCAAAGTGAGCTCTACATGTTCGTTGACCTCTTCACACTACACAGAAGAGCGAAACAAGGATTATGTCTTAGCATTTCAACTCCAACAGCAGACCATTACCATTGCGAGAGAGAAAAATACAAAGGGCCTTGCTTTCTGTCGCATCGTCTCTCTTGCATGCAACTAACGAGAAAACCGTGTACTTACCCTCGCATTCACACGCGAACTATCAAACACGTCCTGTGCCGCATGCTGATCAGGTAGTGCCATGTATGTGTTGTACAGTGTACTCTCAGTCGACATGCCCCCTTTCGAACCCAGACAATCTTTTCGGGATTGGTCAATTGCAGATGCTTTATAAATGTAGTAGGCTGATGATGAATTGCAGATGCAGACTGATCCAGAGTTGCTCATTACTGTTTTCCGCCTGATGATCGCTTAGTGCATGAAACTCGGAGTAAAAACACTTTTTTTGTCCTCTTATTATTGTTTGAACTAGCTCTGCCTCTCGGTATTGAGCACTCTCTTGGACAGCCAGGAATCTCTCTGTTTTACAGTCAGATAGACAGTCATAACTAAGTCTTGTAACGTATTGCTCCTTTCTTCTTTCTCAATAGATTTGATACTCTTTGCTCAACATCCGAGTTTTAAAAAGAATGGAGTGGCCACATTTCTAGGTTGAAAACAAAGTTACTATTTCGTCTATGTAACAATTCATAAAACTGTGAACGTTACAATTCGGCTTTTTCTTTTAAAATACATAAAACTCTCCTCCTCCATGCGCTCTAAAGCTGACCACTGCGACAATTGCTACTATTGTTACCCGTGACCCCTTTGTTGTTTGAGATTATTGGTGTGAGTAATGGCTACCGAGGGTAGCAATGGTCGGCTTTAGAGCGCATGAAGGAGGAGAGTTTTATGTATTGTAACAATTCATCAAAGAAGAACAATTCATGGACCTTGCAAACCATCTGAAGAGCAATACTGAGGAAGAGAACGGATGGGCATGGACGAATGTGTTAGTTTGCTGTGGTGAACTGCGCTTTATGTCTTCCATTTTAGCATCGAACTTCTACTTTGCAGGTTGTTGGTGAGTGTTGGGACATGATGATCAGTTTTGCTTCATTATGTTTCCATAGAGATCACTACATATTGCCCAGAGCCTGAACATGTGCTGAATGGAATGCTGGTTGACAGTGACAACACTGGCCATACACTAGGTTCAACACGTACTTTCCGGTGTAAGGATGGATACAAGCTGAAAGCTGGGAGTAATCCTGTCATCACATGTACTAAATATAAGTCCAGAACAGGGCTCTGGAGACAGCTTCCTGTGTGTGAAGGTGAATAAACTGCTACAAGTTGTTCTGTTTGGAAGTACATACATTTTTTTGTTTTCATTTCCAGTTATCTTCTCAAAATCAATACCACTTCCACCGTCTTACGTTGCGATTTTACAATTCACTATCTCCTAATGTTCACCCTTGGGGCTTCATCAGGGAGTATACCAGTGTCGCAACAAATGTAAACTGGGTCTTTACATGACTAGCATGACATGCAAATGCACGCTCCCGGACTCAGAAGATATTGCAGGGGGAGAATTGAATGTTTTACTTTTTCACAGCTTAGCATAGCGAAATAGTGCACACGATGTATTTGTTTTCCACGTGGTAGTTGAAGTTGCCCACCCACCCAACCTGGTTAGATGTGTCTTCCGATGTTCTTGGTATTCTATGCCTGTGCGTATGGCTTTGTAGTTTGTTACATACATTTTTTAATTCTCTGTTCTTGGGGCCGATTGGCAAAGGGGCAGGAAGAATGAAATAGTTGTTTTCACTCACATAGCAACCAGCTTGTACATGGGATAGTGGTCTACCAGAGTATGTACTCACGGAAAACGTGCCAGAGAATGTACTCAATGTACCGTACCACCGCACTCGCAGCCACACGCGAGCAACAAACAAGGCCAGAAAGTAATAAAGAGCATGTCGGCCAGCAAGAGAGATGTCAGTGCAAGACACGGGCAGAGCAATGGCACGGTGTGGGTGACTGGGCAGCAGGGGAGCGCCTGAAAATCCGACTCCCTAAATTTCCAACCACGACCGCTCAACCGGGCTGGGGGGAAAACTCGCCTTGCGGCCTAAAACCCTTTTATTAATATGGGACCTGCCCCGTTGCCGGTCACACACAAAAAAAAGAGATTATTATACGCTTGTCCGGGTTGACATCACCAAGCAAGCTTGGCTAGTCTTCGTATAAGCCAAATGAACAAAAGAAATGAGGAAGAAACGAAGAGAAACAAGTGGAAAAAAGGAATCATGCAAAACATTCGGGACATAACACAAACACAGCATGCGGCATGCCATGGAAAAACCAGAAAACAGCAGAAAAACAAGCATAAAAGTACGGGACCCAAGGGAGGGCGGGCGGGAAAACTCCATGCTAACATGGGGAAACACAAGACCATGATGGAAGCTGAGAGAGAGAGAGAGAGAGAGAGAGAGAGAGAGAGAGAGAGAGAGAGAGAGAGAGTTCCGCAGTGGAAGAGCAGCAGTACACGGAAAGAAAATGGTGAGTGGGAAATACGTTTTTCCACTCTTTCGCTACGCTCAGCCGTGAAAAAAACACGTTTTTAAGGCCGAAAAGCGTGTTTTCCTAGGATGTAGGGAGACATTTCAGGGTTCTAGCGAATGGAAGGTAGGGGGCACAGCCCCCCCCCTCCCTTCCCTACTCCGATTGAGCGCCCCCTGTAGAAATGTGATGCCCCCTACTCATTTGTCATTTTTGTGCTTTTTAGGCAATTCAACAAAAATGTAGTGGATAGTCACTAACAGAGGGGTCATATCGGCATGCTTGTCTGGGGTGAAGTAGGGGTTTGCATGGCAAGGCAATTTGGGAAAAGGGGGAAAAAGGTTACCGCCCTAATTTGACGGTAACTGCCCCCCCCCCCCCCCCCTACTATGTTGACCTGGCTAGAACCCTGCATTTTTTCAGGCGCTCCCCTGCTACCTAGTCACTCATGTTCACCACTGACCATGCTGCTTCTTTGCATTTTGAGGGTCTTTCTCCGGATGCTGGTGGTCCTTTCATTGATTTCCATGTTGAGTGTTATCTGCCTGTGTGGGTGCACTTCTTCTACTCATTTCTGAAAAATCACTACTGTGGTGAGTGTGATTGCTCTGGTAGACCACTAGGGGGAAGGAAAGGGAGCTAAGAAGGAGGGACTCGAGGGGCGGGGGGGGGGGGTGAGGATGAGGAGGAGGGAAGAGGGCGCAATACCATGGATCTTGACATGGGCAGCGTGGCAAATATGATTTATGAGAACACTGGAGAACATCAATATCTTTGCTGCCCTATTTTGTCAATATTGCATTTTTAAATACAGCGGAGGATCCAGTTTCAGCAGCTTCAGATCAAACTGGAAACCTTGGCACAGACCAGCCTGGAAACCTTGGCACAGGATTATCAATAACAAGTACTACGGGACAGATAAACATTGCAATTGCAACTACTCCGCCTGGTGGAGATGGTGATGGGGAGACTGCTATGACTGATGAAGATGTGATGACAGCATCACCACCTGATACTGCTGGGGAGACTGCTATGCCAGATGAAGATGTGATGACAACATCACCACCTGATGGTGCTGCAGAGACTGTCATGCCAGATGGAGGTGTGATGACGACATCACCACCTGATGCTGCTGTGGAGACTACTGTGCCAGATGAAGATGTGATGGCAACATCGGAGGAAACTAACATGCCCAGCATAGGTATGTAGTCTCTGTGTGTGATTTTTTCCTTCTGAAAAGTAGGCCAGCAATGAAAGGGTTAAAGATTAGTTTCAAATGGCTGAGGTTGTCGCTACTTCTGAGTATAAGCACTCAGGTACCTGGCACAGGCTAGTACAGCCATGTGCTTGCCCACGGATCCGCACCCTCCCACGCACAAAAGCCTCCGGCGGCGGCCATGCGGCATGACCAGAACCGTTCTGGACATGTCGTACCTGCTCCCGCGCAGTCCATGCAGCCGAAGCAACAAACATGGATCCTCTCAGGCGAAGTACAACTTCACCGTACCAGAAACCGCGCCCTACACGGCTTGAAAAGTCTGACCTCTGTGGTGCAAAGCACATCAAGCGTTCAGTACTTTATGTGGGCGGAATAGATCCAGGATGCTGCTCTGAAGCAATCGTCACCTCGTGCGAAAATCGCGAGGTCGAAATTATATCATGCAGTATCTCCGAATCGAAGTACTTCGCCACAACCTACGCTCACGTGGAAATATATGCGGAAGACTTCAGCAAGGTATCGACAGCAGACTTCTGACCTTCCAAGGTCACAGTTCGGCCCTGGAGGTTCAGCTCTGATACCCTTTAATGATGATCCTGAACTGGCAATCTAGGAAATCAACATGCACAATGATGCAGCAACATCGACTAAATCCCGACGCCCCTGTAGTCACTCCACGTTCGAAGCTTCCAATGAGTAACCTCTCTCCCTCCTCGTGCACTTCAACCCCTGCGCCGCTCAACGCCCTTGCCCCACCCTTCTCTCATTCTATACATGTTGCTCCTCACCGACTTACAATCTGTGTCCTTAATGCTCGCTCCATAGCAAGCAAGTCGGGCGAACTCATTCAAATCTGTGAGGATCACACACCCAGCGTAGTATGCATTACAGAGACCTGGCTAACTCCCACACAAGCTTTCCACGTGCCAAACTATGAATGCCTCCTTCCAGACCGACCTGTTTTAGAAAATAGACAGAACCGTGACCCACACAGGGGGTACGGAGGAGTTCTAGTCTTAGTTCGTGAAGGTCTGTGTACTTCCATTGAGCAGCTACCGGCTTTTCAGCAACCGGGCTTGGAAGCGCTAGCACTTCGGCTCACACTCGCTGAACATAAGCTTGTCTCACCTTCTGATCTGCCAACACCCAAACTAACAGTAACCTGTATCTACCGTGCTCCTTCCCCGTCGCCGGATGACTTCTCGACTTTTCTGGACCGCTTCCAAATAGCCCTGCAATCAACTCAAAGGAAGCCTGAAGCCCTTGTGATATCAGGCAACTACAACTGTAGGTATTCCGGTTGGTGCCCAACTGACCAGACGGATGCACAGGGTCTGAGTCTTTACAACCTCTTCTCATGCTATAATTTGACCCAATCGGTGACCTTTCCCACCCACCTCTGCTCGTCTGGACTTGGCAGCTGTCTAGACCTTATCGTGAGCAACATCCCTAACTAACTCACCCACATTCAACATCTGCCTCCTCTTGGCGCATCAGACCATGCCGTCCTGATGGCTGAGTTCTCCTCCTCAAAGTCTTCCCCCACAGCAGCCAGCACCTGTCGTAGCCCACCATCTGCACAAAGGTACAATGTCCGGAGTGCCACGGATAACATGAGCCAGAGCACGCTAAAATAATTACGGTAAAGTCGCGGATAAAAGCCGGGCTTATAAGCACATAAGCCGCTTTCTACATCAGGCTTCAATGCCAACCAGGCTTGTATGCAAACCATGCTTATATGCACCACTGATATTTTTGCCAGGCTTGTATGCACATCGGCCGATCCGGGCTTGCGTAGAAGCCAGGCTTCTATGCGCGACACGCGTAGATCTACCACTGACTACCGGTATGGCGGCAGTTTTACTATGCACTGTACATAGCGCATGCACTATTGACCAACCCGATCCGCGCTTGCATAGAAGCCAGGCTTCTACGCGCGACAGGCTTATATGCATTTGACCCGTTTGATTTTCAGGCTTCTATGCGCGATGTGCTTGTAGGCAAACCCGGCTTTTATCCGCGACTTTACGGTATGACCACAGACCAAAAATTCTATTTTCAGTTTTTTGTTCAAAAATGATCAAACACACCTAATGTTCAGTGTCTGAAAGTTTTGGATTGATCTGATATGTCTAAGTGTTGCTACAATGGTATTATATGCAGCACTGTTGAAATAGTGAAATTCCATGATTGTACAGCAATGGGATTGTCATTTTAGCATACAGTTGATATGTCCCTTGGTTCATCCTTTCCGGGTCAGTTCCTCTGTCCAGGGTCTTATAGCATGAGCCGACAGGTACTCGGCCACATCCGAAGTTTCCATAGGCAGCTGAGCTGGGTGTCCGAAATACCTGGTTGGAGCACCACTGGATAACCACCAGCGAAAATACGGTCAACATCTGTAGACGTTCGAAGAAGCTGGTACGCCACGTCCTCTCCATCACACTCCACCTGTACTTTCTGATATACAGTATACACTGCTGCACACAGTCTTCCTCAACATACTCAACGTCGTACTCATATTCCCCACACTAAAACCCATCTGCACACGGTTTTCTCCGCTCGCCAGAGAGTACTGCTTTCGCTGCCTACTGCTCGTGCTAGCGATGTTCCGCATAAGGGTACTCAAATTATCGACTTAAGGGAGCAGCAGAGTCCATTGATTGTTTTTGCACTTGCAACCAATACTGGCATTGTCCCGGATATGTGCAGCGATGTCCACTCTGGCCAAATCATCGGCCCACTCACCTCCCAACTCAGTGACGATGCCCATTGCTTGTCAGGTTGTCATCAGAGTAGAATTCCTCGTCACTGCAGGTCATGGGACTACCAGCATCAATTATTTTACCCTCGATGAAAGTGTCGCCCTCAAATGACTCGTCGCTGTAGCCAACATCGTCTTCCTTCTTTTTCCGACGCAAATCCTCGAAATATTTCATCTTGCGCATGGAGTGCGAGGATATCGTCTTCTTCTGCTCCGCAGTACATTAGGCTCTTCCTTCGATACATCGATGACGATCAATTTTAGGCGACTCAGCGCAATATGGTTTGCAAACTCAAACAAATAATCTTACTTGCAACAAAGAAATGCATCCGGAACAGTCCAATCGACGGAGGAGAACAACAACAGCGACTCGCGTTGCACTGCACTTCGTATTTTTTTGCCGCGGAATTCAAATCGCGATTTTCTCGACTTTTTCCGAAAAAGCTGTGGTCATGTTTTAGTGCGCTCTGTCTCACTTGTGGAATGCAATGAATGTTTTTCTCGCAGATGTACCATGGTCTCAGGTCCTTGCTTCCCACTGGATCGTCACGGCTGTCTCCGCCCTCACTGACATCCTCGAAGGTGCCTTGTACCTATATATTGGAAGATCCTCACCTGATCGTCGGAAATCACGCCACAAACCCTGCCCCTGGATGGCTGCATCACTTAAAGCAGCTATTAAAGTCAAGAGTGATCTGTTGTACATGTGGTTGCGCTTGTAGCTCTGTGTTGTACATGCGGCTACGCGTGTAGCGCATTGTCGTACGTGTGGCTGCGCTTGTGTCTCTTTGTCGTAAGTGCTGCTGCGTTTATGTCTCTTTGTAGTACATGCTGCTGTGCCGTGGTACACGCTGCTGCGCTGTTTTTGACTCCTGCGTACATGCGGCTCCACCGTCCACCGTCTTCTGTCCCCGTTGTGTACATACTTGCTCGTCTTGTCCCCGTTGCATGCCTTCACTGTTGTCTCGTCTTGTCTCAGTGTCAGTCGTTAGTTGTCAGTGTTAGTTGTTAGCCGGGAGTTCTCTCCTCGAGTCTTGGAGTACGTTTCAGAAAAGATCTCTCTCGCAGTGTAGCAAGAAGAACCCATGAGTATGTGTGATCCCCGGTAGCCTAATCGGTAGGGCACTGTCCCGGAAAGACAGGGAGGGGTGCTGGGTTTGAATCCCGCTCGTGGATCTTTCTTTTGCAACATCATATCCGAGTTGTCGCCATTAAAGGTTTAACTGTATGCACGTCGTCAACCCCTAGGCGTCATTTTCAATATAGAAGTCTTTAGTGCTGAATGGGCTAATAAGAATCGATCGAGTGATTTCTGGAGCAAAATGGAGATGTCTCCAGGTTTTCAATGTAGTACCTGCACGTACGCAATCCACACCAGTCCAAATGAACGCTGGGAAATGTTACGGAAGATAACTTAGTGTTCATTTGGACTGATGTGGATTGCGCAGATACATGTACTACATGGAAAGATTGAATGATTGTGTAAAGATGCATGCCTGTGATGAAAGAACAGTACCAGGTAAGGACCGGCTCGCTGCAGGCTGCGTCGCACTGCCCGCCGAGGGAAAATCATCCAGCCCGTTCTGGGCCAATCACATACTGCCCACAGTGGTGGTACAAATTGCCGTCGTGGCCAGCAAACCGCCCGTCGAGGGCTAAACCAGCACAAAGTCCACCGAGGGCACACTAAATGCCACCAAGGCCAACAATCCGCCTACAGAGGGTTAAATCATCTTACCCGCTGGGGGCCGGAAGTATACAGCTTATCGTGTGCACACAAACGGCCACCGAGGCCAGCAAACCGCCCACCGTGGGCCGGTACCATCTTGCCAGCCAAGGTATACGAACGGACAGAAGGTTCACACAACTGCGTGGCATCACGCCTCACATCACACAGACAGAATAGGTGGACCATTCCTCCCCCCCCCCCCCTCACCCCAAGCGGGGAAACAAAATGCCAAAGGAAAAGGGTGGAAAGGGAGGGACAATCTGCGTCTTGGCAAACTAACAGCGAAAGTACGCTCATTTCGCACCAAGACCGCTCGACAAGACATGTCTCCGTATTAGACGCCTTACCTACGATTGTCAGTAAACCTTTGTCCTGCCACACTTTATTTGGGCTTGTGTACATGTTGAACGGGCACTAAGGGGGTTAACATGCTCTTGGAGTGCTTCTGAGTATCATGATGTGTACGTGGTATTGAATGTATAACAGGTATCAGCTGTCCACAACCAGATTCACTTACCAATGGTAAATCCAGACATACAGGTGTGAGCTACCAGGATACAGTAACTTATGAATGTAGTACAGGATATTCCATGGTGGATCCTCCAACTGGTACTCTGACAGCAACGTGTATGGCAAACAAGCAGTGGTCTCAGCCTGTACCCGAGTGTCAACGTAAGGGATGGACTATTATCACTCTTGCTGTCCCCTCATTCACCCTCCTACTCCCCCCCCCCCACACACACACAAACACACCACTAATGTACCCATGCTCACGCTCACGGACACCCACACAGCGTTCCACTCACTTTAGCATGCACAAACACACAATGGACACATTGGGGTGGGGGTTGCCATGATTTCTTTAGAACAACTAAACTATTATTTTGTGCGGACTGCGTTAGCATCTAGCGGCTGGTGGAGGGTAAGTCCATGCCATGCTGACAATTCTGTCTGCATGACCAACCAAAATGAATCAGCAATGACACTCTGTACGAGCGCTGCCCCTATCAGTGAGATGATCCCAAGGCAGCACTACTGTCTCGCTGGCCATATCATCATTGTGCGAAATCACGCGACACCTGTACATTTTCAATCTGCGGGATGAAGATGACGACGCCCATGCATTTGGTATCAGGGAGTAGTAAGATACTGGTATATCACTACTCCATGCCTCAAATCGTACTGTCAAGGGCATACGGGGGAGTGTAGCATGCCATCGCTTACACTTTCCAGCTGAGGGTTGCCCCGGCTACCAATGGACGAGATTTCAGGGTCACAGCTTGCGAAATAGCTTTGTACTTTTGGAATGGCCACTCGACGTACTCAGCACAAATTTTCTATTGGATGCATGCACAATATGTTCAAGTTTGGTATTTTTGGTGACTTTACCACCGTCATGGAGGCTGGTCGGTGAGGAGCAGGTCGTCACGCGAAATTACGCATCTATGAGCGACATCCACAGAACCTGCTGGGAGAGTACGCGTGTACTCTAGTCTCATCCTGAGCACGTTCTTCACTTCGTCAGGCGAAATAGCACGTCATAGTACATTTGAGATCAGCGGGAAGAAGATGACGACGTCCACTAATTTAGTACCTGTGCACACGAATCTGCTGTGTGCGTGACTCTGTGTGTCAGCTATGATATCATCTTCTGTGGTTCCATGCCTAGCATGTACGTCTGAACCATCCTGCAAAGTTTGAATGACGTAGGTTGAGCGATCGCTCCGCGAAACATAATTTTTGAAATTCTCTTCATAGTATATCTTCCACCATTGAAATTTCGACTTTCTTCAAAAAAAGTGCTGAGAGGGGTGGCTTGCAACCTCGATATGGCTTGTTCCAGGCATGCTTTGGAGCTATCTTCTGTTGAAGTAGTGGCGGTGCAATGGCGGTGCAATGAAAAATACAGCTATACTGGAGCTGGAAAAAAGAAGAAAAAACGTGCTCAGGATGAGACTCGAGTACACGCATACTCTCCCAGCAGGTGAAACGCAAATTTTTGTGAAAAATGCGTGTCGCCGACTGACCAGTAATTTCCGACCTGACGTCTCAGCTCCTGTATAGCTGTATTTTTCATTGCAAAGCCGTCCTCGATTGTTGTGTTCGTTGTTCAAACGAAGAGGACATTCAATCAAGAAGGCAGAGGACATAGGAGCCTGATTGGAGTTTCTCGTGGCATAGGACGGCCACACAGAGACACTTTGGGATTTTCTGAATATAAAATACCGTACGCACGATGGAGAATTCAATTTGTGTGAAGTCAAATTGTTTGTGATCTACCACATCGAGCAGAACGGTATACAAACACAAGCTTACCGAGCGTTAGGCTGCCGACCTGACTGGACAAATGATCCCTGGCTTCACCAGACGCCAGAAGTCGGAAACCATGTCCTTTGCCACGACGTCCATCTCCAAAACGAACTCCATCTTCGTCGTGAAAAGGCTTGAAATACTCAATATTCAACCGAGATTCGCGGTCTCACCCTTTCTCAGATCGAATCATTTTTTGTTGTAGCAGTTGCAGGGCAGATCCCCACCACTATTTCAACAGGGTTTCGCTTCACAGCATGCCTGGAACAAGCCATATCGAAGTTGCAAGCTACCCCTCTCAGCAAGAAAATCGAAATTTCAATGGTAGAAGGTATACTACGAACAGAATTTCAAAATGTATGGTTGGCGGCGCGATCGTTGAACCTACATCATTCAAACTTTTAAGGATGGTTCTGACCTACATGCTGGGCATGGAACTACAGGGTTTGATGTCATAGCTGACACACAAAGGCACAAACTACCGCTTGAAAAAAAACGAAGAAGGACGCATGAGAAAGGAAGAGATAAATAGGGGAAACAGCAGACCTGCACGACTTGGACGAGACGAGGTTGACATAGACGAGATGAGGTTGACATAGATGAGACGAGGTTGAAGACGAGACAAGGATTACTGACAACGAGACAAATGGCGGTTGAGGACGACTGGGACGGAACTCAGGGTGGTGGGTTTCGAGCAAGAGTCGGGCGCCAATGTTGAATATGAAGTGGAGTCATACTCCCCAGACACAACAGACAACGGGAACAGATATGTCGAACAACATCTATTAGAGGAGACGAGGAGACCGAGAAAAAGACGAATGGAACATCTACAATCATTATGGAAGAGAGAGAGAGAGAGAGAGTGTGTGTGTGAGAAAGAGAGAGAGAGTTAAAGGGTCTGGGTTAGCTATGGCAAATATGGGTGCGCAAGTAGCTACCCACACCAACGGAACAAAAGGTGACAAAAAGTGAGAACGAGGGTGCATGCAGGCCAACTTGGAAAAGGCTGTAGAACGTACGGGAGGAGGTACGTAAAGCTACGATTGCCCGTAAACCTTTGTCAAGCCACACGTCATGTGGGGTTGTTTACGTTTTAACCTGACAGTAAAGTGGTGCAGATGCTTTTGGGGTGCTTCTGAGTAACATGATGTGTACGTTGTATTGAATGTTTAACAGGTATCAGCTGTCCACAACCAGATTCACTTACCAATGGTAAATCCAGACATACAGGTGTGAGATACCAGGATACAGTAACTTATGAATGTGATACAGGATATTCCATGGTGGATCATCCAACTGGTACTCTGACAGCAACGTGTATGGCAAACAAGGCATGGTCTCAGCCTGTACCCGAGTGTCAACGTAAGTGATGGACTATTATCACTCTTGCCGTCCCCTAATTCAACCTGCTACTCCTACCCCTGGCACCAAGGCTTGGTAACGAAGTACACCAAGTAACCATGCATTAGCCCCAGCATCCGCAAACATGCAAGCAGAACCAGGTGCACCCGCACGCCCTCTCGGGCACTTGCACGCACACAGAGACCCCCCACCCCACACACACACACATACACATACACAGAGACCCCCCCCCCCCCACCAGCACCACACACACACAGACCCCCCCCTCACACACACACACACACACACACACACACACACACACACACACACACACACACACACAACACACAAAGAGACCCCCACCCACCCACACAGAGACCTCCACATGCACACATGGAGACACCCCCCCCCCCCTCTCTTCCTACACACACACACACACACATGCAGACCCCCCCCCCCCCACACACACACACATACATAGGGTACCAATGCTCTCTCACACGCACACCAGCACAGCGTACCATTCACTTTAGCATCCACATACAAACAATGGACACGTCGGGTTGGAGGTTGCCGTGATTTATTTCGTACCAGTATATTATTCAAGGATATGCTCTTAATGTTTTTCAGAACACGGAGGCTCCACTGCAGCCGATTCATATTACGATCAGTCACCACCTCTGCACAAAGGTCGTTGACGCTGCAAATTTTATTCAAAAGAAATGGAATCTCCAAATTTTCACCCTTAGGGCTTCATCAGGGAGTAAAATAATAATGAGAGTTAGCATGCTAATGCGAGTTAGCAGCCAGCCCAGCGAGCTGGCCCAACCTGCACGCATGCGCGAGTCACGTGGGCACGCGCCCTTCAAAATCCTGCACAATGTCTCTTGCATGTCATTTCTGTTTGGACTTTCGAGCATGCAACTTGCGGAACATGTGTTCCCAAACAATTTCCTTGTGCCGACAGGAGCACCCCAGGGCTAAGTTTTAGGCCTCGTCAGTAACTGTCTAAGCACTCAGTTTCTCACTTCTCTAAATTACTGGACTCACATCCTGATCCTATGCTCCGGAGGTATGTTGCACATGGTCGTAATTGTGGTGTTGTGGTAGGTTTCATCGGCATCCACTCAACAAACTGGGATCCATTGAATTTAACACGGTCACATGCTAACCCAGATTATATTTCTGCGCAACGATCCGTTTCTTGCAGCGGGCTTGAAACAGCTGGCCCGTGTTCTTCACCCCCTTGCTCGTCTCTGTGCTGTTCCGGCGTAGATGCGGTTCCTAGACAAACGGGAAGTTACACACGACACACCCTTGTAAAGCCTGGAGGGTCGAAGTGTCAACGATTACATTCCAGCAGACCGTATCTCTCCACAATGTCAAGATGACAATGCTGCAAACATAATTAGACAATTGCTCGCCCCGCTGTATCTTGCTAAGCTCAATGTTAAAAGTGCATTTTGCCGAATTCCCGTCTACCCGGAGGAGTGGCCCTTGTTGATCCGCTGGCAGGATAAATACTGTTATGAGAGCGTCCTGCCCTTCAGACTGTACTACGCTCCAGGCCAGCTATATGGAACTCTGTCGCATCCACCAGTGAATGGATGGTGTGCGGGCAGTTCGCACTCCCACGCCTGTTGCATTACGGGGAATACCTCAACTAACGTTACTTCCTCAATGCATGCTCTGGACTTGTGTTAGCTCGCCAGCAACTCGTTATTTTGCTCCGAGCGTTTACATACCTCGGTGTTTCTCTGGCCCCAGCAAAAGTGGAGGGTCCAGCTCAAGTCCTGACGTTATTGGCATCTTCCCATTACGGGAAGTACCTCGACTAACGTTTCTGTCTCCATGCATGCTCTGGACTTGTGTTAGCTTGCCAGCAACTCGCTACTCGGCGCCGTGCGTTTACATACCTCGGTGATTCTCTGGCTTCAGCAAAAGTGCTTCCTCGATGTATGCTCTGGACCTGTGTTAGCTCGCCAGCAACTCGCTACTCGGCGCCGTGCGTTTACATACCTCGGTGTTTCTCTGGCGCCAGCAAAAGTGGAGGGTCCAGCCCACGTACTGACATTTATCGGCGTCATCCTGGACACCCGCGCGATCACATCAGTCTGCCGATGGACGAATGTGCCAAGCTTCACGACCTCCTACGGGCCACTCTCCACACAGCTTCAACCACCCAATGTCAACTCGAGTATCTTCTGGGAAAGCTCTCATTTGCTACAAGAGTGATAGTCCCAGGACGCACATTGCAGATTGTGGTCACTTGCCAACTGGTACCGGCAGCCGTATTACCTGATCAAGCTCTCCGAAGAGCGCCTCAAATATCTTCGCTGATGGCCTGAGCTCCTGGAATAGTAGAACGGCCGGTCCTTCTTCCTACACCCTAAGTGGACGCCGTCCCCCAACTTGCTGCTATTCACTGATGCAAGTGGTGCACTTGGCTGGTGCGCAAACAATTGCGACCGGGATAGGGCGATGGACAGTCAATCAAGCAGACCAGCCAATCGCAAAGAGTGGTTTGCAATTGTGGCAGCACCTGGGAGAGCTAGCGGCACCAGCTGCGGATGCCAATCGATCGGCTTTACAGCAACTGCGAGAATCTTGCTCATCAGTTGTGGCTATGGCCTGGCGTTATACACCGGCCACTCGTTTCGAATCGGCTGCCGGACTCGATATTCAAAGAGGCGGGAAGGTGGAAAGCGATGTCTGCCCGAGTAACATTCAGACGCTACCTGCAGCCAAAGCATGGGTGGCTGTGGCAATGGCCTCAGCCCATGATATCGAGCTCTGTTAGTCAATCGTTACCTAGCTTGCACTGCTTACAAATTTCACAGGTAGCTGCACTTGTGATCCGCTCTGGGAGTGCCGATTTATGGAATATATGCTCTCAACTGGTTATGCATCTCAATATATTTAGCATTTGGCGGCTCTACTCAGAGTCATCGGCGGCTCCATGCGGAGGCATTGGCGGCTCCATGCGGAGTCATTCGCCGGCTCCATGCGGTGTCATTTGCCGGCTCCATGCGGAGTCATTCGCCGGCTCCATGCGGAGTCATTTGCCGGCTCCATGCGGAGTCATTTGCCGGCTCCATGCGGAGTCATTCGCCGGCTCCATGCGGAGTCATTTGCCGGCTACATGCGGAGTCATTCGCCTGCTCCAAGCGGAGTCATTTGCTGGCTCAGCTGCGAGCCATCTAACGGCTCCAAGCAGAGCCATTGCTGGAAAGCTACCTGCACAACCGGCGCCTGCAGGCTGTTGTGGGCGGCCAAGAGTCCTCCCTGCACCATATCCAAGCAGGGGTACCGCCAGGTAGCATTCTTGGACCTACGTTATTCCTCCTGTACGTAAATGACTGCGAGGACACCTTGCCTGCTGGTGCTGAGCTTGCCACCCATGCAGATGACACGACACTGTATCAGTGCATCTCTGCCACCGCCAGCATATCCGACTCCGCAGCACAACTCCAGGAAGCAGTGGACGCCGTCTCCCACTGGGGTTCCAAGTGGAAGGTCACCTTCGAGCCATCCAAATCTCAGGCCCTCATCATCGACAACCGCAAGCCTCCCCCGGAGTTCCCACCAGTGCTCTTCAATGGAGTGACTGTTCCTGAAGAGAAGGAAACGGTTTAGACCGGCGCCTCTCTAGCATCCCCCCCCCTTACCAAAATGTGATGTTATCTTTCACTTTGCTTCTCTCACGACCATCTACCCATTGTCCTCGTTTCTCACTATTATTCATTTCCCTCCTTCCTCCCCTCCTCATTGTTTTACTGCATTATGGCGCGCTTTGTCTGCGTAGACGCCGAGACCTTTGAGGTCGGCAGAGCAGACTGGCCCCGCCACCACTTCTCACACATATTCGGGAATATAGTGGACTTTCGTAAAAAAAAATTAAATGAAAAATATATAAAAAAGAGAGAGAGAGAGAGAGAGAGAGAGAGAGAGAGAGAGAGAGAGAGAGAGAGAGAGAGAGAGAGAGATCGAGCGAGCGAGGGCGGCAAGTGAAAGGGTCTGGGTTAGCTATGGCAAATATGGGTGCGCAAGTAGCTACCCACTCCCACGGAACAAAAGGTGACAAAAGGTAAGTACGAGGGTGCATGCAGGCCAGCTTGGAAAAGGTTGTAGAACGTTCGGGAGGAGGTACCTAAACTACGATTGTCCGTAAACCTGTGTCAGGCCACATGTCATGTGGGCTTGTTTAAGTTTTAACCTGACAGTAAAGTGGTGCAGATCCTTTTGGGGTGCTTCTGAGTAACATGATGTGTACGTGGTATTGAATGTATAACAGGTATCAGCTGTCCACAACCAGATTCACTTACCAATGGTAAATCCAGACATACAGGTGTGAGATACCAGGATACAGTAACTTATGAATGTAATACAGGATATTCCATGGTGGATCATCCAACTGGTACTCTGACAGCAACGTGTATGGCAAACAAGACATGGTCTCAGCCTGTACCCGAGTGTCAACGTAAGTGATGGACTATTATCACTCTTGCCGTCCCCTCATTCACCCTGCTACTCCTATCCCCGGCACCAAGGCTTGGCAACGAAGTACACCAAGTAACCATGTATTAGCCCAGAATCCGCAAACATGCAAGCAGACTAGAGATGATCCAGGTGCACCCGCACGCCTTCTTGGGCACTTGATGCACACAGAGACCCCCCCCCCCCCCAACACACACAAACAATACCCCCCCCCCCCCCACACACACATACACATACACAAAGATCCCCCCTCCCCCCACCACCACCACACACACACAGACCCCCCCCCCCCCACACACACACCCAACACACAAAGAGACCCCCACCCCACCCACCCACACAGAGACCCCCACATACACACATGGAGACACCCCCCCCCCCCTCTTCCCACACACACACACACACATGCAGACCCCCCCCCCCCCACACACACACACACATACACCAGGGCCTGCTCTAGACATTCAACACAGCCCGGTCAGAGTGTACTTAGCGCATGCAGGCCAGCCGGGTCAAGCCGGGTCAGATCATCCGGCAGAAAAACAACCAAAAAGCCTGCTCAAAACGCAGCAAAACAGAAAGGTGGATTTATCACCGGAAATCTGACATTTTAGAGAACAAGGCGAACTATCAAAGTCCGCAAACGTAGAAGGTAAACGACATTACGTGAATCATATAATCTTTCTCTATTTCAGGATTACCCAAAGGCTAACGCCTATCTGGGGGATCTCCTATTTGTGTATGTACTAGTAACATAGTTATGGATGCGAGAGAAAGAAGAATGCAAAGCAGTTCCATTGGATTCTGATTTAACAATTTGAAAAAAAGGAATTCTGTTTTCTAATTAGTGCTAGTAGCAGGACGAACGACCAAATCCACCGCCGCTCGTCTTCCTTTGGAAATGCGTCTTGCACACAAAGCGCATGACATGGATAGACTGGCATGGTCTTAGTCCATCCAGGGTCGACCTTTCTTCCAAGAGTCTTGGAAAGCGTGAGTTCTTTTTCTCTTCGCTGCGGGCTCCATCGTCCAAATCACCAGTAGGCTGAAAACTTGCAACTGTGTCAAAAGCTATAGCCAAAGTTACGCTTTTGACTGCCTGCCCCATCGACTTTGAATGTCCTGACTTCCTGCTCGCCGCTGGCCAGATCGCGCTCGAACCAGTTGACCCCAGTTGACCCTAGCCGAGTTTCTGTCACTTGTAGACTGTAGTGTGTATGGTTGCGCTAGATTTTCAACAGATGGGGTCCGCGAGTCGGGCGCGTGATCCGGCTGACCCGGCTCTCCAGCAGGCCCTGATACACAGGGTACCAATGCTCTCTCACACGCACACCAGCACAGCGTACCATTCACTTTAGCATCCACAAACAAACAATGGACACGTCAGGTTGGAGACTGCCGTGATTTATTTCGTACCACTATAATATTCAAGGATATGCTCTTAATAATAATAATAATAATAATAATTAAAAAGCTTCCGTGGAGATAAAAATGTAATCAACGCAATAAATAGAGTAAGCTGCGCACTCAGTACAAACACCATAAGCAAAACTTGTTTTCATGTAAATAAAGAAGCTTGTTCCTAAACGTTTTCGTCGCCATCTCATCAGAGGATTACTGGCAAATCAACAAAAGCTCTTAACTCAATATATATATACGCACAATGCAAGTAATAATTTAGACCCTAACTAGCGCGATAAAATGAGAGCTGAAAGAAACATTACACCATTCAACGATATCAGGTGACAACAGATGCGATAAATTCACCACTAGAAAGTTACCATGCAACCACAAACGAGAACTACTGATCTAAATTCACAAACAATTTCAACGTAAACAAATTCTTTTTCTGCCTACACAAAATCGGCTTGGTGGTAAAAATGTAAATAGACTCCAATACACGCGAATACCTTTGACTACGTGAACGAGACCAAACAGAAAAGCAATCATCAGCATAACTAGAACGACAATCACTATTCTTAACAAGATGGTTGGCGATAGAAGATTCATACACCCTAACAACGCTACTAGAACCAGTACATACTTTGGAATTACGTGACAATGAAACCGACCTGACATTCCTTGCCGCTACTGCCAATCCAGACGAGGCCGATGTAGATGTCCGTACCAAAGGCACGTCCATTACTGACACTGCCTGCTGCGATGATGCTCCCTTTGACGTTCCAATGGCTGTTGATGTTGATGAAGAGGAGGAGGGAGATGAGGAAGACGCTGACGACGACGATGACGACAACGACGGAGACGATAAAGACTCTGCTAACCTCGCCCTAGAGCGAGTCACTGGTCCCGCAGACAAACCATCCGGTGGTTTCTTCGGTGGCCGGCCACGCTTCTTGCCACCGGAGGTGGACACACCGGATGACGGTACAAAGGAAGTCAAAGAAGACGAAACCGCAGATACCAACGATGATGACGGGATAGAAGGAAGAGACGGTAAAGACGAAGGCAATGACGAACAAGCCGATGCCGACGAAGAAGACAACGACACCCCAGTTGGTTCCGTCCCCAGCGAGGGTGCACCTCCAGTCGCAGTACCAATCTTTGGGGGACGACCTCGTCTAGGCCTTGACGACCGTGCCTCAACAGGCATAACGTGAAGAGGCACATGCTGGTGGATCCGTGCCTCCAGGTGCTGAAGGGTCCTACCCACATACCGGCTCTCACATTGCCGGCACTCGAAGTTGTAAATAAGATGTGATAATTTAAGAGTGGGTAGG